GATTGTAGTGTCGCATTAGTAGCATCTTGCAGCAGTGCTAGAAGCTTCCGGGAGAGGCCAGAAGCTCTACGAGAGAGCCACAAGCTCACATGACGCGCCTCCAGGGGACGCACCACCTGAGCTTGTGGCCCCCTCGTAGGTTTGTTTGACCTAATTCCAAGCCTATAAATTCCCTAAAATCCAGAAACCTCCAGAGCGAGAATCGAAACAATTATTCGGCCGCCGCAAGCCTCTGTTCTTCCATGATTCCATCTGAAGGCCTCCGTCGGTATTCTGCCGGAGGGGGAATCAATCACGGAGGGTTTCTACATCAACTGTGCTATCTCTCCGATGATGCATGACATCGTGAGTAGTTCTCATTGGACCTATGGGTCCATAAGCGTAGCTCTCTCTCTCTCTCTCCCTCTCCACCTCTCCCCCCTCTCCCCTTCTCTTTGATTTTCAATACAATGTTCTCTTCGGAGATCGATTCGATGTAATCCCTTTGTAGTGCGTTTATTGAGATTCGATGAATTGCGGTTTTATGATTAGATTACTCATTGAAAGTAATTGGGTCACTTCTGAACTTTATTATGTGTGATTGTTATAGTTATGTAATGCTTTCTGATATGTGGGTTTTCTTTGGCCAAGTTGATGAATAGATCTTCAGTGGAAGTGGTGCATAGTAGTAGTTTCAATCTTGCGGTGTTCTCACCTCGTGACCGAAGGGGTAGCGAGGCACGTATTTGTATTGTTGCTACTAAGGGTAAAACGACGGGGTTCGATCATATTGATTAGTCTTACTTTGTCTATATTATGTAATCATGCTCCAGTCATTACTCTGTTTGGTATGAACCCAATACCTTAAGATGCATGCTGGAAAGCGGTCGAGGGATGGAGTAATAGTAGTAGATGCAGAATCGTTTCGGTCTACTTGTCATAGACGTAATGCCTATGTACTGATCTTGCCATGAATAATATCATAACTATGTGTTTTTCTATCAATTGCCCAACAATATTTGTGTACCCACTGTTGCTATGTTCATGAGAGAGATGCCTCTAGTGAAAGCTATGGCCCCCGGGTGCTCTGGACAAAAATAAATATCATGATGCGGTTATGGAGCTAGCCATGCGTGCAAAGACAAGCCAATTCAGATAAAAGTAAAAACCAGATGGAAGCCACCAAATAAGGATGTCACTTAGATCAATGTTGATACCTTCCACGTTGAAGCTACTCAGTTGGGTTCCACTGGCTTGGTCGGCGTGACATATCAGACTCATTACTCCGCGCTCAAGCCCAATAATATGAATTTGCAACGGGAGCTATGGAATGGAAGTCCTTGCCTTACGAGATGGAGACCAGCACCCGATCGATCAAGGAATCCGCAAGATGCACATTAAAAATGACGGTCAACAAGTTATTAAGTTTTGAAAATTGATAAATTTTGATAGAATATTAGTAACATGCATTTTGCAGGAGATTCAGGAGCTCAGTTCAAATTTTCAAACCTTCTAAATGAGATACTCTCTTCGTTTTAAAATAAATGTCTCAACTTTGTATTAACTCTAATACAAAGTTGTATGCTTAATACACTTATTTTAAGACGGAGAAAGTATATTAGTCGGCAGGGATGTGATTGCAGTGCCGCACACATGTGCTAAACAAGCAAGTTAATGTGGAGAAAGGTTTTTTTAAACGAACTGCATTCCATCTTTTCTCGCTGATGTTCTGCAGCATATGATTGTAATCCTGGCTAAGCATTAATAAAGCTAATTGATTCGAATCAGAAGAAAAGAAAAATAAACAAAAACACAGAGTTAGAGCATCTCCAGCCGCGCCCTCAACAGACCTTCCCCAGGCGTTTTTGCCGTGCCGGCACCGAAAAAACGGCCCAGTCGCGCTCTCAGAAGCCTGTTTTTCGCCGGCTCGGATCGAAACTGGTGTTGGCGGACCCAGGCCGAACCCGGCTTCCTGGGGCGCCTGGGACGCCGGCACAAGCGAAAAGGGCGCATGGGTCCGCCCTGTCGGCGAGGCGAGCGTCTCTTCCCGCTGTTTTTTCCCGCGTTTTCCCCACTTCCCTCCCGCTCATTCCTTCCGTCAATCTCCCTCCCGCAGGGATGATGAATCCACCCGAAAGCCACGCCCAGTACGCGCCCTGGGGCCAGCAAGGCATCGTCTCTCCGCAGCCATGGGGATCGCCCTCGCCGGGCTACGCCGACGTGGACGCGCACGGTGGGTTCAACCCAAACGTCACCTTCCCCATGGATACGCGGCCCAGCGCACGCCCTCTCCCGCCTTCGCCGGCGTGCAGTACCCTCCATACAACTACTCGCCGCCAGTCTATGCTTCCTCCCCGACGCCCCCGCTACGCCGTGGCCCGCTGCCCTTCTCGCACCTCGACGACACCGATGAGACCGAGGCCAACATGGACGACATCATCGCGGCAGGTTCGGCCGCGGCCGCCGCGTCTCCCGGGTTCGTCACCCAGGACGAGGTGGTGGATCTCAGTGGCGGCATGGACGGCGAGCTCGGTTACGTCTACGGCGAGGATGAGCAGCAGGAGCAGGAGGAGGAGGACGAGGAGGAGGAGGAGGAGCCGACGCCTGCGACGACGAAGGGGCGCAAGAAGAAGAAGCGGCGGCCAGAACAGGCGAGCCGCGCATCAAGTGGGCGTCCAAGGAGGAGGAATGCCTCGCCGAAGCATGGAAAGTTGTCTGCCTCGACTCGACGACCGGCGCGAAGCAGAGCATCGACACGTACTGGGACCGCATTAAGGCCGAGTTCGACGAGCTCAAACTCGTCGACCCCTACTTCAAAGGCGTCTACATGCAGCGCGGCTCCAAGGCGATGGCGAACCATTGGGGGCGTATCCAGGGGGCGTGCAACAAATGGCATGGGGTCGTCGAGGAGGTCGCGACTCGCCCGGAGAGCGGCGCTAGCGTCGAGGATCAGGTATGCCACGCCGGCCTCCCGCCTCTCTTCGCCGTGTACGCGCGCCAACTGTTTGTTCCTCCGCGCAGTTGCGGCGCATGTTCGCCCTGTACCGGCAGAGCAATAGCGACGCCGAATTCAAATACCTCCCACGTTTACAAGCGCATTGACAAGTGCGAGAAGTCGGCGGAAGTCCGGCGCACCCTCGACAAGGCCAAGGAGACCTACAAGCCGGACGCGCCGACTCCTGGCGCATCGGAAGGGCGGCCGGACGACAACAAAGTTGCCAAGAAGGGGAAACACGCCGACGCGGCCACCGCTCGAGTGCAGGAGTCCATCGAGCACTGCCTCGCCGACGCGCAGACCCGGGCCGTTCTTCGTGAAGAGAAGACCGAGGCGTGCTGGTCGGCGTTGATATCGAGCAGCGCCGTCAAGCTCGACCTGCTCCGGACGGACGTCACCGCGAAGAAGAGAAACACCGACCTGGCTTTTCTGCTGGGCGGGGCGGACATGCTCCAGAGCACCGACGAGGCAGTCAAGGCATGGTACTTGGCAGAGCGCGACCTCATTTTGAACCAACTTCCCTCGACAAGGCCGCCCCCGCCGACGCCGACGCCGACGCACACGCCAAGCCCGAGTGATGACGCCTCCACGCCGCCGCCCAGCAGCACCGAAGCCGCGCCGACACCGCCCAGCACCGAAGCAGCTCCGACACCGCCAAGCCCGCGCACGCCGACTCCGCCGACACCTGAAGCCGACCCCGTCGAGTGATTCGTTGCGCAGGCGAACTTGCGGCGCTCTGTTTTTTGTACGCTAGATTACATCCGATCGCCGAACTGTGACTTGTGATCGCCGGATTTGTGACGTCTTTTATAATGAGCGGGAACGACCAAGTTCAAATTTTCCGCATTCTAGGACCGGCGCTTGAGGACGTGACTGAGAGCTAGGTTGCCCCCACGAGCCGAGCTAGCGTCGGTTCGCCTCCAGGACGCTCTTTTTAGGTGCCTGGGGGCCGAACGGCTGGAGATGCTCTTAGCTCCCTGTACAAGTCTCGCGTCGGGTCATCGTTGCTTCCAGCGACACAAGAGACGGGTAGGGTTCCTTGCGGCCGAAGCGGCCACGCACGCACCACACCACAACTTAGACAGTCCACCCGCCGCCTCGCGGCTCCAAAACCCTCGCCTCACCCCCGCCCCCCTAGGGTTCGCCTCGCCTCGCAGCGCCGCGCCGCCGCAGCCATGGGCTCATCGCTCCCGGCCAAGGAGGCCAACCTCTTCAAAGTCATCGTCGTAAGCACCCCGCCCCTCGCTTCTCCCCTCGGTACTCGAATCGATCTGTTCGGCCTCTGAATCCGCTGCTCCGTAGCCGCGCTCCGCTCGATTCGACAGTCTGGATGCAGCCAAGCGATTGGAGATGCTCTAGGGGAGTGGCCGTGCGCAGGGGTTTCGTTGCCTAGGTGATTGCTCGGGTCGTTGGGTTGGTGTCTGGCCGAGGTGAAGCTTTGATTTGCGAGGGTTAGATCAGTAGGTGTCTCAGAGAAGCTTTTGCTTGGGAGACGGTCGTTTCGCCAGTAGAGTGGCTAGTTTGCTTCACAGTTGGGGTCGACATGTACTTTATCCCGCAAGGCTGACTTTGTGAAGTTGCTGGTGCTAAAAGCCAAATATATCATGTATTCTGGACCTTATTGGTATCTGTTGTTCAATCACAGCAATGAATTCAGTGTCATGTTATATCTAATCTGACATCAACTCCTTCTTGTAGTTTCATGTTAATAAATTTTATCTTGTCATGTGAACTTGCATCTTAACATTGTCCAGTAGCATTCGGTGATAGCTGAAAGGCCAATACTGGTCGCCGGTTGGAGTGTTACTATATTGGCCTGTTGAACCTTTTATCCTAGCTATGCAGGAGGGATACAACATTGAACATTTTATAGTACCTGGGGTTTCTTGTTTAGTGTTTTGATCATTTGAGTGTATTTCTGATAACACTTTTATAGAACAGTTAAAAGTTACAATAATTTGCACTGTAGACATGCAGACAGTTCAACTTTTGAGTCTTGCATGATTCTGCTTCATACCGGGATTGCATGTATATCTACTGTGGCATAATGTTATGTTCCCCTCTTAACATTCCGTACTCCCAAGTTTCTGATGTTTTATGGTTGCATGCACAGAAATCATATGAAACTAAGCAGTATAAGAAAGGGCTGAAGGCCGCAGATTCCATATTAAAGAAGTTTCCCGAACATGGAGGTCAGAAAGATAGCATTTGATTTTGTTCAACCTTTTGTGTTACTCTCTTGCTCCATGCAGCCTCCTCTGATCGCATACTACTTTGTCTCGTTTCTTGTAGAAACTTTATCGATGAAAGGTTTGACACTAAATTGTATGGATCGGAAATCTGAAGCATACGAGCTTGTTCGCCGTGGCTTGAAGGTTCTTAATCACAACAGATTTAGTCCAAATTTTGTTTTGTGACGATTAAGTTGATTATAAAAATGTAACTGATATGTATCGATCGAATTAAACATTTGCAGAATGATCTGAAGAGTCATGTGTGCTGGCATGTGTATGGTTTACTTTACAGATCAGATAGAGAATACAGAGAAGCTATAAAATGTTACAGAAATGCTTTGAGGATCGACCCAGACAATATTGAAATTTTGCGTGATTTGTCACTTCTCCAGGTTGGTACGACAATCCATTGCTTTCCCCCCTATTTTCTGGGTAAACCAATTCACACCTAACATATAGCTGCATTCAACTTAACTCCCCCCGCCCCCGCGGTCATGTAATGCTTCATCTATTGTTCATCATTGGTGAATTGGCCAATAAGCATGTGCACATATTTGGATTCCAAACATTTGATTTTGTCGAGCTCTTAGTACTGGATAAGTGAAACCAACTTTTGTGTTGGACATTTTTTTTGTTACCAGTATTGGTAACATTACATGGCACTCCTAGCATTACATGAAACTTGTTTTTCAGTGATATGACGTGATAGAAATAAAGGTTTTCTGCCTTCCAGCGAATGAATCTTATTTTTTCTTTTTCACAGGCGCAAATGAGGGACTTGTCTGGCTTTGTTGAGACTAGACAACAGCTTCTGACATTAAAGCCGAACCACCGCATGAACTGGATTGGCTTTGCCGTATCTCATCATTTGAGTTCCAAGTATGCCACTTTCTTGGTTATGTTGAGTTGATCTAGATCAATCAATTAAACCGTATGACCAGTTGAGCAAATAGGGCCTGGGACTCCAGCTCAATTCATATGTTAAACATAGAATGATAAAATTCCAGTACCAGACGTTACTATTTGAACCTCTTTTGAATTCAAGTAAGATCTTGTGTGATCTGCCACATGTCAGCATTAAGTATGGACCAACTTTGGATGCCTATAATGCATCGTCTATTGAATTGCTGCCAAAACAGCATAGCATAATGAATGCACATAATGCCACATGTGTACTTTTTTGGCAGATCAATAGTAGTATATTTTTATCTTACCTTCTTGCTATATCAGTTGTGAGGATTTTCTCGCATCATTATTCACAAGCTGCGTACTATTGCATGTATGGCAGGCTGTAACCTTTGTGATACGAAAATTCACCACTAATATCGTTGTTTCTGGTACCCACCTGCAGCTCTTCAAAGGCAATAGAAGTACTGGAGGCATATGAGGGGACACTGGAAGATGATTATCCCCCAGAAAATGAGCGGTATGAGCATGGTGAAATGCTTTTGTATAAGGTATACGTCTCTCCCTTTCCTGAGCCAGCATTGCAGTACCAGTAATAATGTATTGGTTTACTTTAAGCGTACAGTGAACTCTTATCATAATTCCCGACAGATCAGTTATCAATAGCATCCTATGTGTTTGTCATATCATGGTTTGGTTATTGTTAAACCTGTATGTAATTGCTGACATAGTGCTCTCAAAAGAAATCTTTGGGAATGGTTTATAAGCATTCTGTAATACTGATGCTACAGTACTACTTGCTGCCCATCTCTTTGAACCCGGCTGTTTTTTTTGCTTTGTTAATTTTGTCCCATCTGGATTTTCTTTACATGTCGAGTTACCATACTTATTAGTATTTTTGGTGTAACGTTCTTTCTGTGTGCATTATATTAGTTCTATTACTTTACCCCCACTTTCTCGTGCTAGATAAAGTTTGTTGTCTAAATCAGTCAATTCATATCTAGTACCTTTTCTTACTTCATCAAACAAAGAATATACAATAGATTTAAGTTGAACATATGGAGGTGATATGTATAGTCTAAAAACAATCCTTCATAACTATAACATCAGTAATCTTTACAGAAATAGTGAAAGTAGAATAACTGGTCAAAGTTGTGCTGTGGGCTCCATGCCAATTTCTCAAATGTCACTTGTGACTGGAGGAAGGACATGGTTTCAGTGTGCTATATAATTATCTGTCTTCAACCTTTCCCTGCTCCACCCTTAATTTCAAAGCTTTCTTCATGCTCTAACTCAAGAAATAGCTTACATTATTTGACTATTCATTGCTATTATTGTTGCACAGATATCGTTGCTTGAGGAATGTGGGATGCTGGACAGAGCCCTTCAGGAGATGCACAAGATGGAGAGTAAAATTGTAAGTTGTATCTTTCTATGTTTGAAGGAAAAAAAGTAGAACTGTCTGTAACATGTTCGCTTCTTGAATTTTGTCTGCTAGGTTGATAAGCTCTCATTCAGAGAACAAATGGCCTGCATTTTGTTGAAACTTGGCCGTTTTGAGGAGGCAGAGAAAATATATAGGTCCCTCCTTTTTATGAATCCTGATAACTACAAGTAAGTTGCTTGTACTCATTCTCTCACGTGTCTTTGTTGGTAGTTTATGTCTATGTACTTATGCTGCCATTTTGTTTACATGTTATGTTTATTTTCGTCAACTTACATAGGTACCTGTATTTTAGGTGCTGTTGTCATTCATAGGATACCTTTATTTAGGACCTATTATTTTTTAACCAGCTTAAATTTTATCACTAGACATGCGTTTAGAAAGCTTTGGTGAATTGCCATCTTACCGTATTATTTTCATGTATGTGACCTAGATAGCATTTTATTGTAACCAGATGCAAATTTAATCTTAGCCGATTGAGCAATTCGACCAACTACAGTACTTGTATTCTGATGTTGGTTACAATTGATCGTCTTCCTCCACATACACAATGTCTGTGTGGCAAAACTTTGCATACAGTTGATTAACCTCTCTTCCGCAACTGGCTCACACCTAAACCCTAACCCTTCTAGGCTTAAATGTTGGTATTTTTGATTCGGCAGGTGATATTAATCTCCCTCGTAACATAATGCAATAAGAGCCACACGTTCGTGATAAAAGGGAAACTATCACAAAATTTGACCTATAAGTCTAATGCCAGCTGGGTTCTGTAACTATTTTCTATGTTAGCAACTTAGAATAAAATACTATACCTCACTGCATTGTGTATACAGTCCTGGCTGGTATGGTCAACCTACTTCTGATACTCTAGAATTGGTCGTTGCCCTGTTCTATTCAGGTACCTCATAGCTGTGCAGAAGTGCCTTGGCCTATACTCTGAAAATGGTCATTATTCCGCTGATGATGTTGAACGATTAAGTGCATTATATAAATCACTCAAGGAAGAATATAGTTGGTCATCGGCTGTTAAGGTAAACCATCTAAAATTGTAATCTCATTTGCATTGATACCAGTTTTGTTGGTTCTTCCTTATATCCATGGTTGAGACCTTTGTGGACACTGCAAAATTTACCCTTGATGCAGGCATACATCATTTTGTTTTGCATTTTCATGATAATATTTTGTTTTACATGCGAAGTTAAATGTTATTTTCTCATCCGTATTGACTGTAAGTAGGCCATATAACCACCAACTTATTAATCTAAGTTTTTCTCATACCCTCCGTGCAACAGCGCATACCTCTTGATTTCCTAGAAGGTGAGAAATTCCAGGAGGCAGCAGATAATTATGTCAGACCACTATTAACCAAGGTAATCATATAATTTTAAAGTGATGGTTTGTTAGTACCTCGAAGGTGTCTCGTGGTCTCTGGCTGTGTGTGTAACATGTTGCCTTAAGATTTTTATTGGGTTTACTGGGAGCATGCTGTTACTCATTGTTATTGCTGATTGTAATGTGTCCCATATCTTTTAGGGAGTGCCGTCACTTTTCTCTGATTTAAGCCCGCTTTATGAGCATCCTGGCAAGGTAACACAAGCTATACTAGTCAACAGCATTTTCTTTTTCTTATTTCTTGTTTGTGCTACAAACCATTTACAGAAAATTGTTAATCTCATTAATAGGCAAACATATTGGAGCAATTATTTCTTAAGCTAGAAGATTCAATTAGGACTTCTGGATGCTTTCCTGGAAGGTAATCTTTTTTGCCTGGTCATTATTCTCAGTTTTATCATTCTTCCCATATCCTCATTAGTGTTATTGATCACAGCTCATCTTAAACTGTAAAATTATTGCTTGGCACCTTTATCGGGCAAAACTTGATATCAGGTTATGAATTTTTTGTTACCAAACTGAGACCGTTTTCGATTTTTAGTCAACTTAGCGAACATGTATGTAGTAGCACAACAATATGGTTATATGCTTCTACTGCAATATTAGGTTAATTAACTTAGCTGCTCGTCACTTAGTTGGCATCTTTAAAGATGCAAAAAGCCGAAAAATAATGTGCTAGAATCTGCCTGGAAGGGGTATCTAGAGGAATTTCTCTGCAAGGCATCTTATCAACCATTCTTACACAAGGAACAATGATGCACGTGAAACTTGGTATGGTTGATGTATGCCAAATTGTGCAGAATTTTGATGCTGCCAGAACTCCTATACCGTTCTCGGCTATAATGCAGCAAATTGTAACTTGAAAGTGTTCTATCATTCTTTTCAAGCATGTGGCTTCTTAAAAAACCCGCTACCTATCATACTCCTTGGAAGTAGTCATGTGTTAGCACTAGCCATTGCTAGTTTGAGCTGTCCCTGAACCTGTAGTTTTGACTTAATCTGTAAATTGTCACGTATTTCTTTAACGGTTTCTCCCTGCAGTTCGCAGATGGAACCTCCATCCACACACATGTGGACTCTGCTGTTGGTTTCTCAGGTTAGCATTTGGTGTGAACACCTGCATATTACCTGATAAACCACCGAGTTATTTTCAAATATATCTTTTGAAGTTGCATCATTATGTTTGTCACATGTCATGATGCAGCACTATGACAGAAGGAGCCAGTATGATATTGCTCTGGATAAAATTGACGAGGCCATTTTACACACGCCAACTGTCATTGATTTGTACTCCATAAAGGTAAATTCTCTCCCCATGCGCAATTGTGTTTTCCTTAGTATGCAATTAAGCAGCATCACCATTTCTCCAATATAGGATTTCCTGTAAATTTCAGTTCTTTTGAACTGAAATTTCATTCTTACTTAAATGGTTTCGTTTGGTGCCAATTGCTAGTTTAATACAACCTCTGTAACTTAATGTAAGACATTTTTGCAGTTTAAGTTAAACTGCAAAAACGTAGTTTAAGTTAAACTGCGAAAACGTCTTATCCTAATTTTTGACATTTCTGTAATCTTGCACTGCTGGTTTGGTCTTTCTTTGGATCCCCCTCCTCCTCTTTAATAATGAAATACCCAACATATTTCTGCTGCATTCTCCTAAAAAAGGAGTTGTTTACCCTTGCTAACCATTTCTTGTCTTACCTTTCCAATCTGCAAAATTTCTTTCTCCAATCTACTGGTCTTACACTCGTACTTTTTTGCTCTTCTCGCCCCCTCTAAATAATATTCCCAGAATATAAGGTGCACATGCTTTTCGAGATAAAACTTTGACCATCAATTATACCAATAATACGTAAATCATGTTACTGAAGAATTATACCATTGAAAACTTCTTTCGGATACAAATTCAATGGTGTATTTTTTATGACATAAAACCCACATTTCATTGGTTAAATCTATGGTCAAACTTAAATCTTGAAAAGCATGTGCACCTTCTATATTATGGAACGGAGGGAGTAGTAACTTCTCTTACTTTGTTCACCGTACATTGTGTTTAGATGGCATAATTCTCTGTAAATAAATCTGCTAGTGCACCTGCTTTATTTCAGGGGAATATTTTGCAACATGCTGGCAATTTTTCTGCAGCAGCAGCATTAGCGGATGAAGCTAGGTCCATGGACCTTGCTGATCGTTATTTAAACAGCGAGTGTGTAATGCAGATGCTTCAAGCTGATCAGGTATATTCAGTTAGAAACACAACTACTTTTTTGCACGGTTCCGCTGATGTAATAGTAAAACAGACACCGGCGAACCTTTTGTCAGCAAACACTACACATTTAACTGCTTATTTTGTGACTTGTGAAGGTCGGGCTAGCTGAGAAGACTGCTGTCTTGTTTACAAAAGATGGAGATCAGCACAATAATCTCCATGACATGCAGTGCATGTGGTACATGCTTCCCTCCCTCCACCATTAAGTGTCTATTTTTTTCTTCACTCTCTAAGTCGATGATCTCTTTAAGGTATGAACTTGCTTCTGGCGAGAGTTATTTTCGTCAAGGTGATCTTGGCCGGGCTCTGAAAAATTTCTTAGCTGTTGAAAAGCATTACACTGATATGACTGAAGATCAGTTTGACTTCCATTCATATTGCTTGCGGAAGATGACACTTCGGGCGTACGTTTCTATGCTGAAGTTTCAAGACCGTTTGCATGCTCATGAATACTTTCACAAGGCTGCTGCAGGGGCTATCAGGTAATGGTTCCTATTGGTCTGTCTATCAATTATTTTGTACTTCCCTTCAGAGATTTTTCTAAAGCTATTGTTAAAAATTGTAGGTGTTACATGAAATTACATGATTCTCCATTAAAATCATCTGCTGAGGAGAATGATGAGTTGTCAAAACTGCCAGCTGCCCAGAGGAAGAAGTTGAGGCAAAAACAGAAGAAGGCAGAAGCTCGAGCTAAAAGGGTAACCTCCAGAACTTTGTTTTAGATGTATCACTGCTAAGTCTGTCTTAATTTGCCCTTAAATCTCCCCAGGAGGCTGAAGAGAAACAAGAGGATGAAACAACTTCAACCAACAGTTCGAAATCTGGGAAGAAACAACAAGCAAGGCCAGTTGATTTGGACCCACACGGTGAAAAATTGGTCCAGGTATTCTTTTTCTATGTGATCAGTTGTACTCGTAGTATTGTACTTTTAGAAACATTAGTTTTTATCTTTTTAGGTCATTGAATGATTTCGTCTTCATTTTATGCATTTCTGTTTCCAGGTTGAAGATCCACTTGCAGAAGCCACAAAATATTTGAAGCTTCTGCAGAATAACTCGTCAGATTCATTAGAAACTCATATACTTTCATTTGAACTGAACATGAGAAAGCAAAAGGTTTTACTCGCTTTTCAGGTATGGTATTATGCACCTCATTTTGGGGGATATCCCAGTCTTCTGTTTTTTTCCTTTTCTTTTGCTGGAAATAAATTCTACCCCATTAAGAATTTAAGATATGGTATCGCTTGATTATAATTGAGAGAGCATCTGTTGCTTTCCTTATATTGTTGATAGACTGATGCTCATCTTTCCTACATCATGTTTCTTTATGATGCCATTGGATTACCTGCCGTTATTGCTTAGTTGGTGTATGTGGGGTTGTGGAAGATGAAAACCGAGTGATCTGCACATTAAAAATAGCACTGCGTAGTGCTTTGTTTGAAGTGGAAATTGTTTCATTCGTTGAAGATGTTCCTAAATATACCGCCTTTAAGCATTAGGTTTTGCAGCAATATATTAGTTTGTTTCTTAATATTTCAGAACTTTTATGACAGATGTACTAATATTACTTCTATCAGAGCAATTGTGGTATACAAAGCTTACCTGCAAACATTTTTTTTACGGGAAAGTTTACCTGCTAACATAATTATCTACTCCCTCCGTAACTTAATATAAGATGTTTTTTGACACTATTGACACTATTGATAGTGTCAAAAATGGTCTTATATCAAGTTACGGAGGGAGTACTTAGGAACAGATGCAGTAGTGTTTAAAAGTTGAACTAGATACACTATCTTAATCTGTTATATAGGCTTCTTAGTTTTCTTTATCTATCTCTTGTCACAGGCGGTCAAGCAGCTCATTAAATTGGACGAAAATAATCCAGACAGTCACCGAAGTTTGGTAAGCATCCAAAATTGCACCTTTGATTTTTCTATCAAAATTCGGAATGCCATAAAATTATTTTTCATTTTTATTTATGAGTGCGTCAAGATCATTTTATCTAGAGGTCTGGTTTGGCTGTGCATATTTATCTATATTCCGTTAGCCTGAGATTGGCACTATAAATCTGGATATTTGTTTGGAAGCAACACAGTTTGTTTACCTTTGTTGGGTTTATTCTTTTATTTGTGTTGCTATAAGGAGTCAGACCATAAACGCTGGGTGCACTTTGTATTTAGCAGTGCCTTTTGAACTGAGTTTTTCTCTTGGTTTGGATGGAAGAAGTTGGTGAGCCGAACCCTGTACAACGTTTTACTGGTGTATACTCTGCAGATGATGTGCTGAGTAACTGCCCTGTAAGGAATGACCATTATATTACAGGAATAATTGCTTTTGTAACGCTAAAATTCTTCTGGAGGATATAACTTGTTCAATTCAATGAAATCTACAAAGTATGTTTGTTGACCAATTGCATAAACCACAAATGGAATCCTCTTTTAGGAAATGGATGACTAGGAGTTTATTGCCACTATATATGACCTAGTGCTTACCTTTTAGCTTCTAATCTGTTTAGGTTATTGTTTGTTGTCGAGAATTTAGTATTGCTTTGTTAGCATTACTATTACTATGCTTGGAGTGTATTTAGCATGTGTTAATATGGAATGTGTACATATTGTTCATATTTCATTTATTTTTTTATCATGAGCTGACTGTTAGCAATAAATATATTCAACTTTGTTCTTTATTTTATTTGCAGATAAGATTCTTCCATAGGATAAACAATCTTCCGGCCCCAGGAACTGATTCTGAGAAATTAATATGGAACGTTCTGGAAGCTGAAAGACCAGATCTAAGGTTCTGAGATGGTGATTAATTTTATCAGTATGCATTTACTCCAGTTTATCTGACCAGCGAGTTCTTGCAGGCAATTACACGGGAAATCTCTTGTTGAAGTAAATATAAACTTCCTTGAAAAGCACAACGGTAATTATCTTCATTTTTCGGTTTATGGACCTTTTCTTGACCACGAATTTTACTAACTCAAATCGTTCTTTGCTAGCTTCTTTGACACACAGAGCAGCTGCAGCTGAAATGATGTACCTCTTGGAGCCGGATAAGAAGCTGCAGGTGATTAAATTAATTGAAGACTCAACAAATAACACAGCATCAGGGTAAAGATATGGAAGAAGAATATGCCTCTGATTTTATTCACTTGCTGTGTACATAGTATTTATATCATCTGAACTTTCTGCAGAAATGGTGTGCTTGGTCCCATTAAGGAATGGGGCATTCAAGATTGTATTGATGTTCATAAATTGCTGGATACTGTTTTTGCTGATCAGGATGTTGCAAACAGTAAGTTCCAATATGGCAATGCCCAAATTGTTTATTTTCACCTTACATTTATGTTTTTGAGGGCAATGGACAAGTCTTCTCTTTCTGCTGCTATAATATGTTGGTTGCTAAAATGAATACATATATTTGAGAAAAACCGATTACTTGCAATACTGAACTGCGCTGGATGCTGGCCTGGTATGGTTTGCCTGTATACCGGGCCAATAGATTCTTATTTTTAGTTATATATTGTCAGGATTAACCTCGGTATCTCTGCAGGGTGGAAGGTACGCTGTGCTGAATATTTTCCTTGCTCAACCTACTTCGAAGGCGCGAAAAGTGCTATTACTGCACATATTCCCGGCAGTACTTCCGAGAGTTCACCAGAAAATGGAGATGTACCAAGCCCACAAGCAAAACTTGAGGGAGACAGACACAGTTTGAATGGGACCGTGCATGTTGTGGATGATCTGAGCAACCTTAGCATGAGGTAAATGCGCCAACTAGTTGCTGCCTGGTTACAGCTGGAACAGAAATATATTTGGAACTGGAGCCAGTGCCCAACTAACCAAAGTGCACGGCAAGATATCCAAGTGGGAATGTGTTTTGTGCGCAGTGATTAACTTGATGCATTCATTTGAAGAGTATATTATTGATTGGGAGTTGAGATCTCTTCAATCTCCGGTGATTATCTCTGTTCCAGCTTTTGTACCTTTTCGTTGTCATCTTACATATGGTGGAAGGCCAAAACCTTTCATCCCAGTTACAATGGGGCTTCGCCAGGGTTTGTTGCTTGGCAGCAACAGGATGTTACGATTCTTTTGTCGAAGCCGATCTTGAATTTGTTGCCTGGTGGTTCTTTTTGTCGCAGATAGCTACCTGCACGCTTGTTGGACTACAACAATTTTTGGCATAAAACAGTTGTTAATCTCAAACTTTTGTGAACCATGATGTGTTGTTTGCAGTAGTTGGATGTACTGGGGGTTGCTCTACTTTTGCAACTTTTGGTCCCCATGGTTGTAAATTAGCCAAGTTAATCCTGGACATTGATATTGTATTTCGGTCTGTCCAGACAAATAATCGTCAATGTTAACTGAGTTCTTTTCTTCCACATGCGTAATACACATTTGGTGAAATTTTAATCTATCTGTAGTTTATTATTTCATGTTGTCTGCTATATTGACGCTGTGTCGCTGTCCTTCTGGAACATTAATCGTGTGAAAGTTTTACTTACAATAGTTTACTCGCTTGGTCTCTCAAAAAAATACTGAGCGTTTTGGCTCTGGGGCTCAAGTGCCTCTCTTTTCAAGAGCGGCATACATGGACGTCCAGGTGATCTGGGCCAGGCCACCTTTTCTCGTCATAGCGTTGCTTGGAAAATGCAACGGAGTGCTATCCGGGAGATGGCTGCTGTTGACATAGCTGGAAGAGTCGTGAGAGGAGGTATAATAAGGTTCCATCGAACTTGTTTTTCAAAATATATAAAAATCAGATTATATTTAGAGGTTTCAAAATATGCCAAAAAGGACATCCAAATAAATATCATATTCTTCAATTATGTATAAATTTACATAAAACGACAAATACGTTGGCCAAATACAAAAAAAGAGTCCATTTTAATGTGTCTGTCTTTTTATTGTACGTCACATATGAATATATATGTTCATAAAATTTTGTACATGCATACTACAAATATATGTCTACATGTATACTTTTCTCAGACTTTCTGTAGGTGTGGAAAAAGTATTTTTGCTGGAAAAATAACATGAAGATCAATGGAGCTTGGCTCTGCAGACACTTTTCGGATGTAAGTGGACTATAAGAACTTAAATATTGTGTTTCTATTGAGTTGGACGAGAGAGAAAAGAAGCTGGTTGTAATGGGCATCAAAAAGTTTTCTGAGAGTGAAAGATGAGCCATATGTTAATGAAATAGTATTTTCTTGTAGCCAACTACTCATATACTAAGCTTTGTACTAAATCAATGACACTTATTTTAAGGCTATAAATGACATGGCAACATGTTATTAGCAAACAGCTAGCTATATTAGAGACTAGGCTTCGAGGGATGAGCACTCTGCCCACACCATTTTGACTACGAGCAAAGTTAAGCACAAAATGATTCTTATCCAAAAATTTAGCATGATTTGATCCTTTGATCTACTGCTATACACAACAACGCTAGGGTACCTGGGCTACTGCTGTAGTCTACGGCGGTAGCCCCTAACCCGACATTGATATAACCAGACTAACCCTGGGTTAGTGGCCAACCGACACGTGTCCATTGGCCGCATTTCAAACAAACGCTGCAACTTTACTTGGGCTTCAAGCAAAGCTAACTCATCCAACTCTGGAAGAGATATTCTCTCGTTATCTTTACAAGGAAGATATAGGCTTTTGGTTGAGCAATCACTTCAACAACTGTCTTCGTTTCACCTCGACCCCACTTTCCTTTGACTCAATAAAAAGAAAATGAAACTAACAAAGAAGCTAAGTGTTCGTGTTCCATTGTCTTCATTCATTATCTTCAAATGCAACCATTGGTTTCGACAGTTAAACCGAATCTCTAGGGACTTTTATTTGTGTTATCCTATGAATCTCACAAACATATTAGTCCCTCAATCAGGTTTATCGTTAATACTCCAAAACCAACAAAGGAGTGGCACTAGATGCACTGACAACCTCCCTCTTTTTGGTGATTGATGACAATCTGGTTGAAGTTTTTAACGGGGATAAAAATATATGAAAGTAAGAACTTGGAGATTATGATTCCATGATATAGAGAGGACTCCCCCTAAAGATGTGCATATGAAGACTTTGCTTTGAATGCAAATGCACATGGCAGGTTTTGATTGTGGAGAACTCCCCCTATATCTTGGAATCCAATCACATTGCATAGTAGATAATTTGAAGATAATGGAATGCACAATGATAAATTGGTGTCTGCAGAATGATTTCATGGGCATAATATCAAATTTAAGCAGCGAGCAAAAGAACCAGAGTAGCAAGTGTGCATATGTCCATCAGGACTTAGGGGTACACGACTCATACCAAGTCCTAAGGGTACACGACTACTAGTGCCTGCTCAAGAGGACCTTCGTGGTCATACTGCTCTTGTGCGGACTTGTCGTTTAGAAAGATCTGCCTAATTTGCCCCTCCCTTACGAAGGTAAGGGCGTACCAAGTTGTCTAATCCCGGTCGGAGCATCTCTAATCGAACTGGCCGACCTTGCGCATCCAGTGCAAGCATCCAAGTCAAGAAAGTTATTGAGGGACCTTGCATCGGTGTTGTAGGGTAGTTGTGACGATTGTCCTGCCTGGGCGTGGAGCGGGTTCCCTTCACTGTGTCCTTCGCAGGTGGTACCAAGGGAAATTCCTTCAATAGTTGAGCTGATGGTGGCCATGATGTTGCTGAACCTCCAAGGGCAACAATATATTGCCCCTGCTCGACCACCTGTCTCTCCATGAGGTGGGAAAGTTGTTGATGTAGGGCGACCTCCCGGCGGGTGCTTACGAGCTCTGCCATGATGAGGTGAAGCAGAGTGTCCTCGGCGGTGGTGAAGCAAAGTTGATTCCAAAGGAACGGGTAGTCAGTATCCGAGATAGTCTTCCCTTGCTGCATGGAATTCATCATGCTCCTGCTCGGCAGACACCGACTGGCTTGTACTTCGTTCATTTCTGGAATGATGTCGCGTAGCCATAGAAGGGCCTCATAGGCAACACACTGAATGGCTATACCTCAGTGTGCATAGAGGCTTTGTCATGGTTTTATCACGGCAGATGTCCTCGTGAAAGGACTGAGTCTCGAGGCCATCGCAACTAGGTGGTTGCTTGAACGGGTTTGATCGGAAACGAAGGACGCGAGTTTACCCAGGTTTGGCCCCTCATGGTGGAGGTAAAAGCCTACTCCTACTTGATTGATATTGATGATCATCTTGATTACAAGAATGCAGATTCACTAACCTAGCTTTCAAGAAATTGTAACTTAGTCTTTGAGTCCTAGGAACTCCCCTTGGAGATTCCAGGTCGTACTCTTAACCCGTATCCTACTCTATCTATTAATGTCTTGCTGTAAGTGCATCAAGTGCCCCCTTAGTGGTTGTAACATCCCAAATTTTCAATTTGGAATGTTATACAATAGATCATCTTTGCATATCATATTTTATTGCATTTTGGTTGATCCTAAAAATTTCACGCAACTCAAGGACCCTCAGAGAGAGTTGGGGATTTCGTTATTTTCATATTTGAGTTTTCTCAAATTTTGAAAATAGCATCATTTGATTTTATTTATTTTATCTTCAATTATTTCTATTATAAAAATATGAGAGAGGGAATAAAATGACTTTTCCAAAATAAAGAAACATTGAGGATTTAATAATAAAATCAAATAACATTTTATTGTGGTTTTATTTGCTATTTTATTTGAATTTAGGAAAAATGCGCGTTTTTCAAAATTGCATTTAGGCCCCAAATAAATGTTCATCCTGTGCGGCTTGATATTAGAAGCCGGGGAAAATTTATTTTCGGGATTTTTGGAGTCCGTTTAGTATTCCTTTTGTTTGTTTTTCTGCGCATAATAATCTTTTTTTTAAAAAAGTCTGAACCGACCTCCGGGCCGTGTTTGGCCCGGACTCCTA